GCGCTCCCTGCCCCGCTCCCCATGTAGGAGGGGGTGTTGGCGGCAGGGAGGGCCGAGGCCGGGGTGAATGGTGCGAGGAGCGGGCGCTGAGGAAGTTTGAAGTTCGGGGGTTTTGGAGGATTCCCCCCCTCCCCTCTCTCGAGCACAGTGGAGGAGGAATGCCAAATCCGGAGAGACATGGGGGCAAGAAGGATGGGGGCGGCGGGGGGTCCTCGCAGCACGCGCCTGGCAGCGGGAGTTCGAACAGCAAGGAGAGGCACCGCTGGGCCCCCAGGCACAAGAGGCAACTCCAAGGAGTCACCGCTGGCGGCCCAGGAGACGGCGGCACCCTTGGGCGCGATGATCAAGCCGCTGGTGGAGTATGACGACATCAGTTCAGATTCGGATACCTTCTCGGATGATGTGGCCCTCAAGCTGGACAGGAGGGAGAACGAGGAAAGGAGGGCGGACCGGAGTGAGAGGATACAGAAGCACCGGCACCACCAGCACAAGCGCATTCGTGAGCTGATGAAGAGCAAACAGGCAGAAAAAGAGAGGAAGTTAGAAAAGAGCCTGGAGGCATCCAGCAGGTCCGGGTCCACCAAGGAGAGAATATCGGGATCCTCCAAGAGACTCCTTGAAAGCGAGGAGCACCCGAAGTCGCTGTCCTCAAAGAGTAGCAACAAGGAGTCTCGGTCAGCCAAAGCGCACAAGGAGAAATCCAGGAAGGATCGGGAGCTCAAGTCCAGCCACAAAGAGCGCGGTAAAAGCCATCGGAAAAGGGACGCTCCCAAAAGTTACAAAACAATTGACAGTCCGAAGCGGAAATCCAGAAGTCCTCACAGAAAGTGGTCCGACAGCCCTAAATTGGACGACAGCCCCTCAGGAGCCTCCTACATCCAGGAGTACGATCTCAGCCCTCCCCGCTCTCACACATCCAGTAACTACGATCCCTACAGGAAGAGCCCTGGCGGCTCCTCGCGCCGGCAGTCGATCAGCCCACCCTACAAGGAGCCCGTGGCTTACCAGTCGAACACTCGCTCTCCCAGCCCTTACAGCCGGCGGCAGAGGTCCATAAGTCCCTATAACAGGAGGCGCTCCTCGAGCTACGAGAGAGGCAGGGGGTCGTACAGCGGGAGGTCACCGAGCCCTTACGGCCGACGGCGCTCCAGCAGCCCTTTCGCCGCGAAGCGGTCTGTGAGCCGAAGCCCCATCGCCAGGTGTGTGCTCTCTGTGTTGCCTTCCTCGCCCTGGGGAACGGGGGGGAGCGTTTGGGGGTGGTCGTCGGAGGTGGCTCTGGGCATGGGAGGGGTTAACCCCCTTCCTTGTCGTGCCCAGTTTGGTCACAGAGCGATTTGTGTGGAATTGCTTTGGGTGGGTTCATGGCAATCCCCTTTAAAATGGTGTCCATGCTTTGGAAAACACCTCCCTGACTGGCGGTAGGCAGCGTCCATGTTGGCTCTCAGCAGAGAGGCCCAGGGCTGAATGAGCTCCTGGGATTAAATTACACCCACCTCTGGAGGTGGCCCCTGCAGAAGGGCCGAGGCTCCTGGGGAGGGCTGCGCTCGGAGCCTCTGCGGGAGACGGAGCCGTTCAGCTCCCGATGCGGGATCTAGTGCACTCCCCTGGCGAGAAGTTCAGCCAGGGAGAATGCTTTCACCTATTTCTGGAAGCCTTTTTCTGTTTACTACGTGTGGAAACTTGATCACGCTTTTCAGGAGGGTGGCTTGTTTTGAGTGTATTTTGCTCTTTCTGAACTGACTTGTCTCTTCTCTTTCCTTGAATTAGAGATGACCACATGTAAACTCCATCTTTCTGGCCTAAACTTTCTTTTCTCACTGCTAGAGTTGCTTGCTTCCATTCTGAAATCGGGGCATTCTGGAAGGGCAAGTAGGAACCAGCTGTATTTTGGCTTAACTATAACTTTCTCTCTTTTTTTTTTTTTCTTTTCTTTAGTCAGTAACCTTGCTACAGAAGGAAACTATTATTTGAAGGTAGTTCTGTGTGTTTTATTTCAGATGTTCGTTAATCATCCTGTTATATGCACGAATACATAGTCTAATGTTGACTCTTTTTTTTTTTTCTAGCTTCAGCTTATGTTAAGTGAGTTTCCAGTTGTCACCATGGGTGCTGTGAAGCTTTGGTTGTAGCTCCATGGCAATTAAGATGTGACCTGGAATGTAATCGCTATAGAAATGCTCTGCGCTGTGTTAGCTGTGCTGCATCCTCTGGTCCAAACAGGAGCTGCGAGCGAAGAGGCTGCCTCCAGAGCGCATTTATGTGATTAGCAGTTCCCAAAGAACTCGGGGCTCTTGGAATTCGGCCTTCGTTACTAGAGCTCTTCTCTTAACTTCAGGAATACTGTCTTCCACAGTGGGCTTGAAAGAGTGCCTTTGTCCTTGCTGTAAGAGAGGTGTATTGGTTTTAGCACCCTGGAAGCTGTTACGTAAAATCTACTTATTCCGCTGTGATTTTACATAGCGAAAATTTCCTCCAGGCTGTTTCTCCTCTGCCCTGTTTTCTCGGTGCGCACCTGAGAGGTGCTGAGGGATATCTGTCTTCTCCCTCCCCTCAGTTCTTTTTGCCCTGGTGGCACTGCTCTTACACGGTATTTGCTAATGCTTTTGGAAGGGTAAGAATGCAGTAGTAGAAAACGTGTGTGTACTTCATGATACGATTGTGTATCGTGGCACCTGTTAAATGTCCATGTTCAGCCCTAACCAGGGAGAAACCACGTGGAAACTGGACTGGTATACGAAGAGGCGGGTCTTTCCCCCCCCCAGGTTACTCCACTTCCCAGGCGAACCTGAAGCTTACTCTTTCTGTAAACGGCTGGTTGCTTCTGACGTGAGAAATCAAGCAGTTGTTCTCTTTTCCTGATCTTAATTATGGGAGCAACTTTGAAGCGCTTTGCGCTGCTTCCCTGAACTTGCGTACCCACGTAAGAAACGTTTTAAGGGCATCTTTGACTGACAAAATGCTGGACCCCAAACCAAAATAGATTCCAAAGGTTACTTACTGTTTACGCTCAGCTTGTACTGGATTCTTTGAATCTCTGACTTCAGTTGATAACCTGCTACTCTTCTCTCTTTGCTGGGCAGATAACTTACTGACTGTGTGATATATTCTTTTAAAGCAGAACAAAAAAATACGGATTATGCCTTCAGAAAACATCCACCTGAAGTGATTCTAGTAAAGGGACAGGGGGAATTTGATGTGTTTCCCATACGTTAGGCGAACTGTAAGTTGTAATTCGTTGCTGGTCTGTACGGTGAGGCAGTTGGTGTACGCTGATGGTCAAACGTCCGCTCCAGAAGCCGAAGGTGGGGCTGCCCCTCTGCTGACGGCTGTTCAGGAGCTCCCCCGAAGGAGTGGATGGGCTGAGCCTTCCTTGCCAGCTTCGCTGAAGCCAGCTTTGGTTGATCCGCTGCAGATGAGCGTGTAAACGGAGGCAGCTGACTTTGCACCCGAGTAGCCGGGGAGTGACTGCATGATCCCTTCTGTTGGCTCCTGCGGAGGGGCAGGAACAGCTTGGGAGAGAAAACGTCTTTAACTGGCACACTCACTTAGGCAGTGAACATCTGACTATGGCTTAAATTCTTCAGAGGAGGTAGCACAGGCTTTTCTGGGACACTGAATTATTTCCACTGACTGACAATACAGGGTATTTTTAGTGCATTCTGTGTTTTCTTTAATCTCCATGTCCAAAATACAGTGTTAGGAAACTGAATCAATGTGCTGTGCTGATTGGAGAAAATAAGGAGTGTTTGCATTTCAAATGGCTGTGCAAAACAACTTGCTTTCAATTTAGGAGGAAATGAGGATGATTTGGTCAGTAGGGAAAACAACAGATGTGGCTTGCCATTCCTTGTAGCAACTGTTGTCGTTGCAGCTAAAACTGGAAGAAGAAATTCCAGGGTCCTTCAGCTTGCTGAAGGTGGGTTGTGCTCTGTGCTAAGTATAGCAGCAAAGTGTGAGTGTGTGCACGTGCTGTAGTAGTGGCCACTGTTACGCAGATCCTTGCCGCGGCAAAAGGTTGTCGGGCATTCGTAAATAAGAAACGCTGGCCGTCCGTTTGAGCTTGTTTCCTGAGCGCTTAGAGCACGGGGCGTGCGGTCAGGCTTCCTAGATACTAGTTTGCACTTTACTCTTAACTTCTGTTGTGGCTTGGAGCAGGTAAAATGTTTTAATGTCTGTAGGTGTTCCTAGGAGTTTGTATAGTGAATACTATGGAAGTACGTAGATGTGGGGCTTTGTTCTGCCAACCGATTCAGGGTCACCTCTGCTAACGGCTATTAGCCGTGCTCGTTTTCAGCATGAGGCGGTCTGGAGGGTTCTAGCATTCCCTCTTCCAAAGTTAAATTAATCTAATAACGCTTTTTTTTTTTTTTTTATTTTTAGATGAGCATTCATCTCTGACTTCTTCATGTTAATTCACAGTCATCATGGTTAGTGTCTCGTATTTCTAGTTTCCCATGCTAGAGAGGCAACAAGGTGTTTTTTAACCCCAGAGCATTTTTATCCAGGGAAGGAACTTCACGTGAGACTGAATTGCCCCCCACCCACCTCTGATAATCTTAGCAAAGCAAGTAAGCTGTAGAATGTTGCCTTAACACACGTTAAGGGTGAAAGGGGTAAAAGTGCTAACTGACCGGCTGCAGGTAAAGCCGCAGAAAGACCATTCCAGAGGATGGGGAGGGTGTGTTTAAAAAGCAAAATCTGCCTGTGCATCTTCTGTCTTATTGCGTCTTTTTGGAGATATCCAGCAGTGATAAAAGCAAGTGTTGCTGTGGAAGACCGCCCCTCAGCAAGCGCAGTAGTGGTGTCGAGGCTGTTGATGGTCTAATGATGTGAGGTAAGATTTGTCGTAGTGTGGTCTGTTGCTGGCTGCGTTGATACAGCTGGGAAAGCAGACAAGCTTCTGGATGCGCTGCCTTTTTCAGGTCTGACAAAGAAGCCGTAAACACCAAGCTGGAAAATAGGCTTAGAAACAACAGCTCTTTGTAGAATAACTATAGGTAATTATCATTAGACAACTGAAGGGAGAAAGCGTGAGGAGCGGAGAAGATTACTGGAAGGGAATTAGTGGATTTAGTCCTGGTGGAACAGGGGAGCATGTATATTTGCTGATGGAAGGTCAGGGACTCGTCCCCAGCCCTCGTCAGGTTGGAAGTGCTGGTTCTGCGGTGCAGCTCCTTCCGCAGCAACCCTTGCGTAAGAGGGTCCTACCCTGAGCCGTGCGCTCCGTCTGCGCGCCCCACCGCTTCCTCCAGCGTTACCTTTCCCTTGCTTGTGTCCACGCGGGTGTGTCTGGTGGCTGCGTGGCTGCATGTCTAATGTAGCACTGAAAAATAAGGTAAAATCGCACTTTTGGAGACGTTTACTTCATGCCAGATCTGCTGAGTGATCTTGTTGAGAATGTTGCTCTGCAACCAGTTGAATTGGAATAATTGTTGGGGGGTAATCATGGGGAAGGACGGGAGACGGGGAGCAGGAAACTGAGTATCGCAGCATCCTAAAACAGTCCATCCTGAAAGAATTGCGATAGGGAATGCTAACCCCCGAACTATTTGTGGTTGCAGTAAACTACATCCTACAGGATTCATTAGGAACGTTCTCCTTAGCCTGCGAATGCCTTTGAGCATAGTGAAAACGTAACGGCTTCTTCAGCTCCTGGCAGCTTTGCACTGGGCTGCGGCAGGTGAACTGCTGTCCAAATGGTAAACTGCGTCCGAGACCGTTAATTCCTTAAGCGGAAACCTTGGAAAAGGAGACGATCCTGAGGCAGCGTTCCCGTTACAGAACAGTGTGTTGAAGAGGAAAATAGTTGAGCGACTTCAGATGACGCTTTCTTTCCTCCTTCTGGTTGTGTATTTATCTTGTAAGTCTAAAGGTAAGGACTACCTACAGTCGTAGTGTTCTCTGGCCACCGTTAGCACGAGGTTTGGGGTTGTACTTACTAGTGAGAGGGCAGAGTGCTTGCACTTGGAGTAGCAAGGGAAGAGGGTTCTGTAAAACTCCACACCGCTGTGCAGCGAGACCCTTCACCTCCCGTGCAATCACAACTGTGTCCAGCCTTGAAGGTGCTGGTGGTGTCTGGCGAGGAACTTTGGGTTAGTCTGTCTCAGTTCTCCAGTTTATTTTCCAAATGTTTGTTGTCTCAGGATAATATTGTGTAGTGCTGTAAACAGCTTAGATCTTGTTGTTAATTGCATTCCGAGTATGGTTACAAGCGGCCCAGCACCTACTACGTTTAAACCTGCTTGCTATTAGGTGTTTTTCATAACTACTGTGGAACTGTGTTTTGAGAGAATTCCGTATTTTCAAAGCTAGATATGTTCTGAGTAAGACATCACAGAATAAAAATAAACTTTGAGCATAGATTCTATTATAGTGCTCATAGGGTCTGATCTCAAAATTTCTCATTCTCCTGTTGGCTCACGCAGCTTCTAAACCCGTCAGAGCCTACCACGTGTGCAGCTGAAGTACGCTGTCTCATAACCTGCAAAATCCTAGTTCCCCTTGAAGTGGAGGAAACGGTTCTGTCTTGTCAGTAACTTTGACGTGGACACTGGAAGCACCAGTTTCCAGTTCCATTTTATTTTTTATCTTGTTTCCACATCAGTCTCCGGTGAGCTTGTGGTTACTGCCGTCTTCTGACCAGGTTCACCCCGTGCTCGCGGTGCGTTCCCCGATGGTGTGAGGTGTTTCCTGCCTTGCTGCTTGCATCACAACATAGACTTTCAGTGTGGTTTTTTTTTTTTCTGCATATATACCTAATTTAGAGCCCATTTATTGTAGAGGAAGACTGAGACCCTCTGGACATACCTCAAACGGAATTAAAATTCCTGGGTTGTTTTTTTCTTCTCCTGAATCACAGTATGCAAATTTGAGTTCTGATGGTAGTAAAAGAACCAGAGGAAAAATTAGCTTGAAGTGAGATGTTTCCTGAGGCGGCATTCCCGTGAGGGCAGTCATATTTTATCCGTTGTTTCCTTTAAAGTTGTACATAATTGCTGTGAAAGATTCGTAAAACTGCCAGCTCATCCTCTCGACTGAAGTCTTCTGTTTAGTGCGTGCATCTGTGATCTCGTCTTTACCTTGAGGCTTGTCCAATCTTGATCCTTCATTTCTGTCGTAACGGTATGATTGTGAGGGTAGTCCTGACATCGGAAGGCTGGATGATGACCTGAAACTTGTACTGCTTCAGTCAATAAACTCGTTTTAGTAGCTTTAGTCTCTCCTGACAGGCATTATGGACTGTCTGAACTTAGTTGACAAATAATGGATTCTAATTGTTTTCAAAGAGAGCTGTTGATGTTGGTGTGTAGCGCAGAGGTTGAGAGATGCTTCGTTTGTTTATCTTCTCCCTTTTCTCTCCACAGGAAGTCTGTGAAGTCCCGAAGCCGAAGCCCTGGGTACTCAAGACACTCATCATCTCACAGTAAAAAGCAGAGGTCTGGGTCACGCAGTCGCCATTCCAGTATATCACCGACAAGGCTACCGCTGAACTCCAGTCTGGGGGCAAAGAAAAAAAAAGGAGCGAGCGGCAGCGGCAGCAGCTGCAGCCAAGGTGGATGGGAAGGAGGCAAAGGGCTCACCTGTTTTCCTGTCTAGGAAGGAGAACAGCTTAGCTGAACTTAAGGAGTCTGGAACAGAATCTAAAAAGGTCATCAAAACTGTTAAGTCTGAAAAATCATCTTCAGATACAGAATTAGTTAATTTACTGTATACGAATGCAGAGACTAAAGCCCCTGCAGAGACGACAAAAATCAAGGCAGAGGAGAACTCTGAGAGGAAACATCCTGTTCCAGTTAGAGATTCAAAACAGACGGGAACAAAAGACTCGAAGCCTGTAGCAGTGGCAGAGGACCTCCTATCTCCAAAAGAGACAGAGGCAGCAGAGAAGGAGATTCCACCCCCGCTACCCTCGATAAAATCGCCTCCTCCACCTCTGCCGACAACCACACCACCACCTCCAACTCCGCCGTTGCCGCCTTTGCCGCCATCACCTGCTGTTCCACCTTTGCCACCATCCCAACCGACTCCCGTTCAGGTCCCTACTTCAGCCCCAACATCTTTGCCATCTTCTGCCCACCCAAGGACGTCTACTTTATCCTCTCAGGTGAACTCTCAGTCCTCTGTCCAAGTTGCTACAAAAACACAAGTGTCTGTGACGGCTGCTATCCCACACCTGAAAACTTCAACGTTGCCTCCGCTTCCGCTCCCCCCTATTTTAGTTGGGGAAGATGACTTGGATAGGTAAGGTCACACAAGAGCATCCTGTTTGCACTTAAAAGCAAAACATTGAAATAAACAGATTCTTTTGGTTAGTTTGACAGTTACTAGCTTATCCCGCAGGGTACGCTGAGGACTATGCCGCTGGTATAAAAGCATTATTGCACGGCCATTCCTGGGTTTGGCCTTGTCAGGTTTATGTGGAGAGTTTTATGATCCTGTGCAGGTAGTCACGTCTTATCTCGGTGAGAAAGAGAGGTTTGGCTGCTGGTTTAATGCTGGTTAGTAAAGGTTTCATGTCACTCTTCATTCATATTTATCCCAGTAATGAAACACGGATCTGGAATTATGCACCCCTTTGCGTTGCAGCCATTTGCACAGGCTTATTTTGAAATTGCTTTTTTGTTTAATTCCTCCAAAACCTGTACTTCAGTAACAGGAAAGAGCTTAACGATTCCAATACAAGAACACAAACCAGAGCTGTTTCTGTTTCAAATTTGTCGAACATGCAGGCCATGCCCGCATGTAAAAAATGGCATTGGTTTAACTTAAATATTGTCTTAACTATTGAATAATTAATGCAATCCATACTGCTTAAGAAGTAGGTATTGTTTGTTTGAAAAAAGAGTTTAAAAATGAAAGAGTGAAACTGCACCTACTTCAACTTTCTGTTTCCTGTCATTTCTAATCAAAACATGCAGACTTAATTCTGTCCTGTAATTGTAGCTCTCGCTGCTCTGGGTCTTGACTGATGGTGGTCTTGGCTTCTAATATGAGCTTGTCTGAAAAACCTTGCTGGGGGGGGAGGGAACAGAATATCCAAAATGGAGGTGGAGAAGAAGAAAAACAAATCTTTTTTTTTTCCCCCCCTTTGTAGCTGTTAGTGTGTTGTAGTGCTGTTAACGTAAGGTCATCACTGATAAATTTTTTTTTTCCTACTTGATCTGCTTAGCCTCTAGTTCCCTAACAACTTTATCTTTCCAACCATCGCTAAAGATGTACTAGGTATCTCATTGGTTAGTAAAGCATGTTTTTTAATGAATAGTGTGTTACAGGGTACTTATGACTTGCTATAATTACCCTGTGGTTGAAGTGAACTCCGTGTGTTACATACTCTGATTCATTTAATTGATTTTCATGGTTTGTCCTGGTATCGATGTAGATTAGGGTAACGTTGTCACTGCGATCAACGTAAAAGTTCGGCTTGTGCGTGTTTATGGTGCCCCTCCTAAGCTGTGTAATGTTGTTCAGCAAATGTCTATTTAGTTTAAATGTATCTGTGATGAGCAGTAGCTTTTAACAGACTGCAGATTTTTCCCAACTCACGTGCCAGTCTAAGCAAGATTCCGCTGCTGTGTTCCCTTATTTCCAAACACAGACGTTGTCCTGCAAAGACTGTATTTTATTTTTTTAGCCACTCACACCTAGAGCTCTTTTTTACCACCCAGGTGTGGCTTAGTTTTGTAAAAGTGTGTTTTATCTCTGCCGTCACTATGAACTTAGGAGTGTGGGCAGTAATACAGCTGGTTGCTAAGCTTAGTAAATGGATTTACAGTCACTTTTCCCCAATAAAAGGACAGGAAATCCCGCTTCGTTTTGCTGAGTCTAGTGACAGTTGCGTATGGCACTGACGGTGTACAGAAGCTCCCTCTTAATCAACTGCCTTCGTATCGATGAACAAAACTTTCTTAGATAGACTTTTGTTTTCATATGCTGAGACCGGGAGAACGCTCCAGCTCTGAGACCGTGGTAAGCGTAGGATTTGGAAACGTGCTTTGAAGTGTCCAAGTACAAAACACACCTCGTTCAGTTAGAGACTCCTTAACCTTTCTTGATGCTTGCCGAGCTCTCAAGACTTATCATCTGTCTATAACGCTTTTAGACTTCACAGCAGCCAAGGTGCACCGTGGGTCGCTTCACCTGGCGGGAGGTGTAGCAGGAGGAGGGGAAAAGCTGTTTAGAAGCAAGTGGTACAAACTTTGTACGTGTCTGATGTTGCTCTCAGATTGCACGGCTTGCGTAGGTTCCTGGAAATATCTGTTTGACCGTTCACGGCACTAACATAG